AAAGAAAAATATCAGATGGTTTCACTTATAGGAGGAATGTAGGGCAACCAAATAAGGGATCAGGAAAAAAACAATTATAATAAATTTGAAAACAATATTAACAAGCAACTATTAATCAGAGCCACTGCAAGAGAGGGGGAGGGAGAAGGATCAAAACAGGGGTGTGAAGAACACATGGGACTATGGTGATGGTGCACAGGTTAATTGGTGGTGGGAATTTTACAGGGACTACACCTGAGAGGAGAAAGCACACATTATTCAAAAAGGAAGAATGATATGTGTGCATGTGTGTGTGTGTACATATACATATATATATGTATATGTATATGTATATATACACACATATATAAAATAAATTTTTTTTAAGCAGCCAGATTTGGAGATTTTTTATTTTTTTTATTTTTTTAAGATTTATTTATTTATGCATACAAGAACTGGGATATAGGCCAGAGGTGCCAGGGGTGGGAGGGGTGAGAGGATTCACCGAAGACAGAGTGGGGAGCAGAATAGGCCGACTGACTGAAATACACTGATGAGGGGAGCAGCAGGCGAGACCGGAGAGGTCTGCTGTGCCATGTAGGTTAGCTTGTAGGTTAGCTCCTTGACCGGCTGGGGATGGAACTGGTGCTGCGGAGGCTGTGGATACCTTCATAATGCTGACGCTTAGCCCCTTGCGCCACCAGGGAGGCCCTATTTGATGGTTTTTTGTGGCTTGGCCATTTCCTGTTTGCCCATGTTCAGACATGACTGTGGAGAAGTCTTGTTTTGTTTTTGACAATCCTGGTCAGAGTAGCCTTATCTGATCACCATGTTCTGTGAAATTGCTTATGTTCAACAGTAGGACACAACCATTTTAGTTCCTGGCCAGGTCCTAGCAACACTAAGACCAACCAAGTAGTATCAGGCCAGTTCCTGGCTGTCAGGAACTCCTTTCATTTCTTTCAATTTTCAGATTTTTCTATTATGTGCAAATATATATATAGATAGATAGATAGAGATATCTGATTTTGGGGGCTTTTTCAACAATAGTTATCTGGCACAAAGAGGAAGAGCTTAGAATTAGCGTCAAAGACCCTTTGGGCAGCAACCATGCACAAACTTGTCAATATGAAAAAAAAGGAAAAATATTTTGATACAAAAATCAATTTGACCCCTAAAAGCAACTTTTGGTAGCAATACAGTTGAAGTTAAATAGTTCTCAGTGTCTGTTTGTACTGAGGGCAAAGGAGGACTTTTAACAATTCTTTTTGGTCTTAGAATGTAGTTTTGGGGCCTCCCCTGGTGGCGCAGCGGTTGAGCGCTGGGCTGTGAGGCTGCCTACAGCCTCTGCAGCACCGGTTTGTTCCCCAGCCACTGGCGAGTGTCCCACAAAAAAAAAAAAAGAATGTAGTTTTGCTTCAATTATGAGTGTGTCAAGTTCTCAGTCATGGAGCTCCCTGTACCTGCTTTGGAGGAAGGAACTGGTAGTCCCAGCTTGGTGACACCTTCATTTTTCGGTGCCCTCTAAGGAGGACTGCTCTGCGGTTTCATATCCTTACCTTACATCTTCCCTCCAGAGAGCTTGCATGTTTTTATTTCAAGGTCTCTATCAATGGCTAAAGTTAAATAGTGTAGAGGGAGAGGAAGCAGACTAATTTTAGGGAGATTTCACAGGTCAGACTTACAGGTCTTTGCAGGTTGCCAAAAGTGAGAAAAGTGGATATTATTAATATTTAAATTTTCTGTTTCAGAGTTTGCTGGCTTTTTGCTTTAATGCCCAGATTAAAAAAAAAAAAAATTCCCTAATAATGCCTGAAATATGGGGAGATTAGAATAAAATTCTTTAGTCTTAGTCCTAAAAGTCAGAAAAGATTTATAGATCAGAGCAATTTCTCTGTGTCTTTGGATTCCTAAACCAAGATTGTTTGTTTAAGGTCACACAAAGATTTTATTTTTCTATGATTATTCCCAAGTCAAAATGGGTTGAAAGGCAAACACAACTGTTTCTTGAACCTGTGTTGTGAACATTTGCATTTTACTAAGTAATAGCAGCTAACAAATACAGAGTTTATGGAGTGCTTGAACATGCCCCACTGAGAGCTGTGGAGGATGCTATGTGACCCTGGACCGAGAAGTGCACACACAGGTGCCAGGTCATCTGACCAGCCCTGTGCTTGGAGCATCTGCTGTGCTAATATTTACTCTTTACTTAAAGCTTAATGGTATGTTGATTCACTTTCTTCTGTGTGTTTTTTCTTAAACAATTTATTTCCTAATGTAATATTTGCTATAAAGGAACAACTAATGCACGGTATATGTAAGCTATAAAGAATAAATACAAATCTGCCATTAAATCATACATTTTAAATCACTGAAAACTTCTTTTGGCCTCTCTCAGGGGCTAGGGTTAAGTCTCAGCACTACCACCACGACGGCCCTCCCAGCCCTGGCCCTCTGCGGGGGCCCGAGTTCAGTCCCTACCAGGGAGCTGACCCACATGGCCCAGCAGACCTCTCTTGTCTTGCCCACTGCTCCCCTTAGCAGTGTATTTCAGTATATCTGCCTGTTCTGCTCCCCACTCTGTCTCTGATGAATCCTTTACCCACTGCACCTCTGGCCTGTACCCAAGTTCTTATATGCATAAATAATAAAATCTTTTAAAAAGAAAAAAAGAAAAAACATGTAGATGTTGATTTAAAGAATGAAACTTCTTTGTGCGCTTCTGTAGCTTGTCACTAAATTTTTTGTTTTGTTTTGTTTTTTAAGATTTATTTATTTATACAAGCACTGGGTACAGTCAGAAGCGCGGAAGGGTAAGAGATTTCACCAGAGCCAGAGCGGGATGCAGAGCAGGCAAAAGGACTGAAGTACACTGCTGAGGGGAGCAGCGGGCGGCAGGAGAGGTCTGCATGCCGTGTGGGACCCTCCTCCGGTGGCCGGGGAGCAGCTGGGAATCGAACCGGCGCTGCAGAGGCTGCAGGCAGCTTCGCAACCCGGTGCTCAACCACTGTGCCACCGGGGAGGCCCGTCACTAAAAATTTTTTAAGTTGCATACTGTGTGCAGTATATTGTTAGGATCCTAAGAGTGTTTAGATACTTGTCATTTCTGGCATCTCTTAGTATGAGCAGAAGGAGAGTTGGCTCCAGAGTCAGGGTTGTGACTTAGGGAAGGGCCTAAGAAAGAACACATAGACTGATGGAGGACAAGAATAAAAAGACTGTAAAGGAGGTGCCACAAGACTAGAACCTGACTCACACAAGGAGGTAGAGGTAGAGGGAAAGAACATGACCATTAACCCAGCTGTAGAGGTCAGGACCCCTAGATGCCAGTGCCTTGTCACAAGGCATGAAACCCAAGCAGGATCAGACTGCTCTAGGGAGTGGAGCACAGGCCTGAGGGTAAAGATATGGAGATTGAGCCCACCCTGGAATCTCTGGTCCCTTCGTGGTTTTGCCAAGTTATCCAACATCAGCAACAAGCAGGCCACTCCACTCTTTGACCCCTCCCAAAGAGAAAAGGACTATATCAGTGTCTGCACAGGCTCAGGGCAGCACTCCCACTGCCCACATGTGCCTATGCAGGTGCTTCTTTTCACCAACTCTCTCGCTCTGCAGGGCAGCAGCTTCCCGCCTGCCTGTGACCTGTCCCAGGCCGGGGTTTCTCCTCACTGACCTCCCTCAGTGGAGGCCGCTCTCTTCAAGGCCGCCCATCTGCAACCATGCAGGCCTCTCTCAGCAAACCTGTCCCTTTTGAGGCAGCTCTTCCTGCCTGCTTGTGTCTATGCAAGTATCCTTAACTCTCCTGTCCCTTTCCCTAATAAACCTGCCCTTTAAATATAACTAACGTCTCTGGAGAAACTCGCCTGGGAAACTCACCGCCTGTCGCTGAAATGGGAGCTCTGGTGAAACCTTTCCCAGAGTGACCCCAAGGACCCCACACTCTACAAAAACCACATCATAGACCATCAAAAACTTTTGGCTATTATTGTTGAGCAGTTTACTGCTTGTTCACTCTTAGCCAGGTTCACTATTTTTTCTCCCTTCCTAGCCAAATCTCACATCAAAACTAAGCACTGTTGGGCCTCCCCGGTGGCGCAGCAGTTGAGCGCTGGGTTGCAAAGCTGCCCGCAGCCTCTGCGGCGCCGGTTCGATCCACGGCTGCTCTCCGGCCACCAGAAGAGGGTCCCACATGGCACGCAGACCTCTCCTGCCGCCCGCTGCTCCCCTCAGCAGTGTACCTTGGTCCCTCTGCCTGTTCTGCTCCCCGCTCTGGCTCTGGTGAATCCTCTCACCCTTCCGTGCTTCTGACTGTACCCAGTGCTTGTATAAATAAATAAAAATAAATCTTTAAAAAAAAAAAAAGCACTGTTTAAATATTTGCCTTAATTAATCAGGCAAAGGAAATGTGTTTGTAACCCTTTGCAAAGATTGAGCTGGTGACTTTTGTTCTTGGTGGGTTTTTTTTTTTGTTTTTTCGCTGTAACTGCACAAATTTTTCAAACTTCATGCACATAAATCGCTTGCCTTTAGCTTTCCTAAGTTTGGGCTCTGCTTAGCCTCATTTCTCAAAATCAGAATTTGTTAAAATCATCCAACACTGGCCTGGGAGTCAACTATATTCATTTGACACAGTAATTACTATTTATTAAGAAGCTTTTATGTAGAAAAGAATTCACTTATAGGAACTCCCCAGTGGCACAGCGGTTGAGTGCTGGGTTGCGAAGCTGCCCGCAGCCTCTGCAGCACCAGTTCGATCCCCAGCTGCCAGAGGGGAGGGTCCCACATGGCGCGCAGACCTCTGCTGCCGTCTGCTGCTCCCCTCAACAGTGTACTTCGGTCCTTCTGCCTGTTCTGCTCCCTGCTCTGCCTCTAGTGAATTTTCTCACCCTTCGCGCTTCTGACTGTACCCAGTGCTTGTATAAATAAATAAATCTTAAAAATAATAAAAAAAGAACATTAGTTCTAATTTAAAAAAAAAAAAGAATTCACTTATAAACTCTCAATTTTTCTCTTTTATTTAGAATGGCACCAGACCCCCACTGAATGCAGATGTAAATTTGGAAGCGATTGCTGGTGACCATCGCTGTGATCGCTATTCGTAAGTACCTCATTTTTTAAGTCAGATTATAGCTCCCTGAGGTTCAGTTTCCTGAGGTATAAAATGAGGGAGAAGGTTCCGAGGATTAAGTCAGGTATCCTGTAGGGCACCTAGCATGGAATCTGGCCCTTCCATCTTAGAGAAGGAACAACTGATTTTGAGGCACTGAGGAATTTCCAGAAATAGGGGGAATTCTCTTCTTGTTACTCAGCTACCCTGACCACTGTTGTTGTCCTTCAGAAATTGTCTGCTGTTCTCCCAGAGTATTTGAGCTAAGACATTTCATTATTGGCTGCCAAATTATTCAGAAGCTTCAACATTTAAAAGAAAATAAACTGATGCTTCTCCAAGCCTCACAATGCATTTTTCACAAAACATCTGATAATATCCACTCTGTGTAGTAAAAGCAAATCAAATATTTCTGCCTTCAACTTCACATTTTTTGTGATAGTTATAGTTTCAGCAAAGGTTTTGGTTAATTTTCCAATGTATACAGGAAGAAAAAGATACTGAAGGTTAACTTAAGAATTTCTTCCTCTGGCTTATTTTAAAAGCTCAGTGATTGATTTGGTGCTCACAGTATTCCTCTAGGGCAAGGCTGAATATTGTGTTTTCTGAAGCTAGGTCAATCTTCTGAAATCTCTTATTCAACAATGTAAACTTATATCCAAAGAACATACCCATTAATGGAAATAGACACTCAGTCTTTCCCAGTTCTGGTTGAAGAATTTCACATTATCATCTCTTAACGAGATGAGTCTATGTGCTGATCAATTTTTGGTGGTATCGTCAAGATACAAAATTTTATCTCCAATTTTTTCATATATGGACCACGGCAGTGACTCTCAATCCTTGTTCTGCCACCTCAGTGTACTTGAGAAATACACCACTCTTGCCTGACTTAAGAAAGCAGTGACCCAGTGAGGGGGTAATGATCAGAGACCCAGGATGGTGGTGATGGGCATAATGTAAAAGTTCCTTGTTCCGTTTAAGGAGAAATTATTTCTCCCTCTAGTTGGAAATTAATTAACTGAACTTATTATCAAGGAGGGGGGCAAAAAACACAAATAAGTAGTTTATACCTTTGAGTCCTGAAATCTGAAAAGATTGTCAGTTTCGGTTTTTTGGGTTTTTTTGTTTTTTTGGGTTTTTTTAAATATTTATTTATTTATACAGTACTGGGTACAGTCAGAGGCACGGGAGGGTGAGAGAATTCACCAGAGCCAGAGCAGAGAGTAGAACAGGCAGAGTGATGAAGCACACTGCTGAGGGGAGCAGCAGGCGGCAGGAGAGGTCTGCGCGCCATGTGGGACCCTCGCCAGTGGCCGGGGATCAAACTGGCGCTACAGAGGCTGCGGGCAGCTTCACAACCCAGCGCTCAACTGCTGCGCCACCGGGGAGACCCAACTCAGGCAGTTTTGATGGCAGTACTTACCCTGGGCCAAACCTTTTGGATTACACCACATAGGGTGTCGGTTTATAAAGTGGTTAGGTTTCATGTTGAATGGTACATATTTGGAGTTCTAATGCCACTGTCAATACAGTTTGAGAGATACTATAATATCACAGTCTTCAGCTGTCTATATCAGCTGATGGTGTCCCTGTACCAATGTTAGATGTAACGTTAAAGAAAAGAATGAAACCCCAACTGTGCATGATTATTAAATAATGTTATAACCCTAATACTTTAGGAAGTATTAGATTCAGTAAATAATTTAAGGTCTAATAATTATTAATAACTTTATATGTTGTGTGGATGGTCAACATTGTGTAGAATGGTCAATAGTGTCTAGAAATAAGGTTTTTAATCCCTAAATTCAAACTCATTCTCAAAGAATCTCTAAGAATCCTGTTAAAGATGTAATGTGAAAGGCTAGTTTTTTACTGATTCAATAACCATGTTGACTCAGCATATTATTACATAGAATAGTTAAATAAACTTGTTCTTTTCATTTCTTAAATAATTTGTGTCTTCTCAGCTTGAGCTTTGAATTAAGTACCTCAAAAACTTCCTAACTTGTATGTTCCCCTTTTAAACTTGGAAACGTAATAATTTTTTATATTATCTTATTCTAGATGTTAATGTCTGAATGGGCGAACCAGCACTTTAGTGTAGGCCTCATGAATGAAAATTTTACAATTAATGATATATAATTTTTTTCTACTGACTAAATATTTTCAACTTTTGTTTTAATGTTGGCATCTGTAGCTCTTAGTGTGGGGATCTCTGTGTTTCATCAAACTGTTTCCTCCTTAAATTTCCTTTCTTCTAAAATTTAGAAATATTTTAAATGAAATCTAAAAACTTTCCTGCTTATAAACCATTTGTCCCATCTTTATTGGCCTATTTCTTTCCTGATTAATATGTGATCTAAAAGAAAATTGCTGGGCCTCCCCGGTTGCGCAGCAGTCGAGCGCTGGGTTGCGAAGCTGCCCACAGCCTCTGCAGCGCCGGTTCGATCCCCGGCTGCTCCCCAGCCACGGGAGGAGCGTCCCACATGGCGCACAGAACTCTCCTGCCGCCCGCTGCTCCCCTCAGCAGTGTACTTCAGTCCTTCTGCCTGCTCTGCTCCCCGCTCTGGCTCTGGTGAATTCTCTCACCCTCCCGCGCTTCTGACTGTACCCAGTGCATGTATAAACAAAACAAACAAACAAACAAACAAATAAATAAATAAATAAAAGCATGCCTCTATTAAAAAAAATAATAATAAAAAAGAAAAGAAAATTGCTGGGCTTTTGCATTTTCTAAATAACTAAGAACACTTTTATTATAGGGGTGCAGATCTCTCTGCTTTGGTACGAGAAGCTTCTCTTTGTGCTCTGAGACAGGAAATGGCAAGACAGAAGAGCGGAGATGAAAAAGGTGATTCTCTTCAGAACCTCTCAATTCTAATTAATTATCACTCTTTATACCTAAACCACTGTTGACTTGGAAAATGACTATTTTCTAGCATCTGTTATCTGTGTTATTAGCACCACGCTCTAACCAACTGAGCTAACCGGCCGGCTTTGTTATCTGTGTTATTAAAACTGACTTGTTCTGTGGTATTAAAACTGAGCTCTTTAGAAGCTGTTATGGATTGTCTTGTAACCTATATGGCTGACAACTATAATAATGGCAAAGTCCCTTGGTAGCTCTCTGACGAAAGTATTATATCTTTACTATCATCATAAACAAAATGCTTAGATTTAGGCAAGAAGGTCGTCTTCATTATGAGTTTGTTCTCTTTATCAATTCTGGAGAACCTTCTCATTCTTCTGCATTCTCCTATTACAAACCAGTGCGTGCTAAAAAGAAGAGCTTAGAGAATACACACATGAGAAGTGAAAATTGAAGAAATTTCCCTGTATTTATAGTCTCCTTTCAGAATACAAAATCCATATTGTGATGATTTGGGGCCATTTCAGTAGCTTTTCACTGTTCTTACTCTTTGGGTGTGTGTGGCCAAAAAAGATTCATTTGTTACCTGCATTCCAACTGTGCTAAGTATAGAAATAGCTTTACTTTGCTTAGGTCCTGTATCCATTGTTGTTCAGTCAGTGTTTATGGCTACAGTACTTTAGAATACCTGCTGTCTTCAAAAAGACCTACCTGTCCTCTAAACTTACACTTTAATTTGAAGTTCAGTTTAATTTGAAATTATTCAGTAGTTCTAGTACATGTCTTTTTTATTTGTATTGATTTTCTTCTCCCCATCCCCTCACCCCCGTTTTTCTTTGGCTGCTAAGAATCATAGAACTAAATTTTATTTACAGTTACAGCCTCACATGCTTAGATTCACCAACACACATTTTCGTTATGAAGTCTGCGATGTTTTAAATTTTATTTTTATTTATTTATTTATTTATTTATTTTAAAGGTTTATTTATTTATGCATACAAGAGCTGAGGTACAGGCCAGAGATGCAGGGGGTGAGAGGATATACCAGAGACAGAGTGGGGAACAGAACAGGCAGATGGACCAAAGTACACTGCTGAGGGGAGCAACGGGCGAGACAGGAGAGATCTGCTGCGCCATGTGGGTTTCTCCCTGGCTGGGGATCGAACTCGTGCTACAGGGGCTGTGAATTGCTTCATAGTGCAGTGCTTAACCACTTGCGCCACCAGGGAGGCCTTTTTTTTTTTTTTTTTTTTTGATTTTTTTTTTTTGATTTTTAAATAAATTTTAATCCCAAGGTTAAAAGAGACAAAGCAAACTTCATGAGGTGCATTAACTACACTTTTAGATTATGCTACTTCTACAAAACTCCTGAGTGAAGATGTTTTTGCAAGTCAACTATTACCCAGATCACTTTATCCACTGCATTTACTTTTTTTTTCTTTTCCATTTATTTTTATTTTATTTTTTTAATTTAAATTTTATTTTTATATTCCCCATACAATTACAACCGCCTTATTTTTACCCCAAGCCCTCCTTTACCTGCCCCCCAATCCCCATAGAGAGTCTCTTGTTCATAGTTATTTGTTGATTTTGATATTTTCTTTCTTATAGTTATTCTTTTTCCTGGTCCCTTATTTAAGTTTTCTAGATTCCTGCTATGAGTGAGACCATCCGGTATTTTTCTTTTTCTTTCTGGCTTATTTCGCTGAGCATGATCCCTTCCAGCGCCATCCATGTTGCTGCAAATTGCATGTGTTTATCTTTTTTGAATGCTGAGTAATATTCCATGGTGTATATGGACCACATCTTCTTGATCCAGTCATCTATTTTTGAGCATTTGGGTTGTTTCCAAAGCTTAGCTATTGTAAACAGTGCCGCTATAAACATAGGGGTGCAGGTGCTCTTTGGAATTGATGTTTCTGTGTCCTTTGGGTAAATACCTAGGAGTGGAATTGCTGGATCATATGGAAGCTCTATGTTTAGTAGGTCCAGAAATCTCCACACAGGTCTCCATAGTGGTTGGACTAGTTTGTACTCCCACCAACAGTGCAGGAGAGTTCCTTTTTCTCCACACCCTCGCCAACATTTGTTGTTGCTAGTTTTTTTAATATGTGCCATTCTCACTGGTTACAAGTGATGTTGAACATTGTTTCATATGCCTGTTGGCCATTTGCATTTCCTCTTCAGAGCAATTTCTTTTTAGCTCTTCTGCCCATTTTTTGACTGGATTATTTTCTCTGTTTTTGTTGAGTCTTATCAGCTCTTTGTAGATTTTTGTGATCAGTCCTTTATCATTAGTGTTGTGTGCAAAAATGTTCTCCCAGTCGGTGGGGTTTCTCTTTGTTTATCTTTGCCTTCAATATCACTGCTTTGAGTGATGTGTCTGTAAAGATGTCTTTGTGCATATCATGTAGTGTTTGCGATGTTTTAAATTTTTTTTTTAATAGAGGCATTTTATTTATTTATTTATTTGTTTGTTTGCTTGCTTGCTTGTTTGTTTATACATGCACTGGGTACAGTCAGAAGCGCGAGAGGGTGAGAGAATTCACCAGAGCCAGAGCGGGGAGCAGAGCAGGCAGACGGACCAAAGTACACTGCTGAGGGGAGCAGCGGACGGCAGGAGAGGTCTGCGTGCCTTGTGGGACCCTCCTCCGGTGGCCGGGGAGCAGCCGGGGATGGAACCGGCGTTGCAGAGGCTGCGGGCAGCTTCGCAACCCAGCGCTCAACCGCTGCGCCACCCGGGAGGCCCTGCGATGTTTTAAATTTTAATATTCAGTTATGTGAGGGCCTCCCCGGTGGCGCAGTGGTTGAGCGCTGGGTTGCGAAGCTGCCCACAGCCTCTGCAGCACCGGTTCCATCCCCGGCTGCTCCCCGGCCACGGGAGGAGGGTCCCACATGGCGCGCAGACCTCTCTTGCCGCCCGCTGCTCCCCTCAGCAGTGTACTTCCGTCCTTCTGCCCGCTCTGCTACCCGCTCTGGCTCTGGTGAATTCTTTCACCCTCCCGCGCTTCTGACTGTACCCAGTGCTTGTATGTATGTATCAATAAATAAATAACTACAATAAATCTTAAAAAAAAAATTCAGTTATGTGAGCTTGTTTTGTAAGCGATTTTAAATTCCATTTGGAATTAGGTGATACATAATTAGATTATGGGGGGGAGGGGTCAAACATATTGTGGTAATATACTGCCTGAACATTAAATCTGGTGACACTCTTTGAATATATTGGCACTAAAAATTTACAAGCCTCTGTACAGATATCGACTGCTAATAATTATATTTGGGTGTTATCTTATAAAGCATATATAACAAATTCTGACATCACTGTTAAGGTAAACAAAGCAGAGAGGTCCTACAAATGGCAATCTGTTCATGAGAGATGTCTCTCTCTTGGTGGTATACTGGGTTAAAATCTGAGGAACACCTGGTGGGGGAAATGGAGACATATTGGTCAAAGGGTACAAACGTCCTGCTGTAAGATAAATAAGTTCTGGGGAATCTAATGTATACCATGTGACTATAGTTGATGATAACACTGTATTGATTAACTGAAATTTATTGAGAGAAGATCTTAAGTTATCACCACAAAAAAGATAATTATGTGAGGGGGAGGTGTTAAAACTAACCTTATTGTGGTGATCATTTCACAGTATATATATGTTTCAAATCATTAAGTTATACACCACCTTAAACTATAAATATGTCAAAAATACCTGAGTAAAACTGAAATAAATAAGTAAATAGAACATAATGTGGATTGACTTTTTTTTTTTTTAAGATTTATTTATTTATACAAGCACTGGGTACAGTCAGAAGCGCGGGAGGGTGAGAGAATTCACCAGAGCCAGAGGGGAGAGCAGAGCAGGCAGAAGGACCAAAGTACTCTGCTGAGGGGAGCAGCGGGCGGCAGGAGAGGTCTGCGCGCCATGTGGGACCCTCCTCCGGTGGCCGGGGAGCAGCCGGGGATCGAACCGGCGCCGCAGAGGCCGTGGGCAGCTTCGCAACCCAGCGCTCAACCGCTGCGCCACCGGGGAGGCCCCTAAAATTAACTCTTTTGAATTCTGGGGGAAAGGGAAGGTAGCCCTAAAATGTACATTAGAAAACTTAAGCATTTATGCAAAATTAAATATGGTCAGGGGCCTCCCTGGTGACGCAGCAGTTGAGCGCTGGGTTGCGAACTGCCCACAACCTCTGCAGCGCCGGTTCGCTCTCCAGCCACCGGGTGAGGGTCCCACATGGTGCGCAGACCTCTCTTGCCACCTGCTGCTCCCCTCAGCAGTGTACCTTGTCAGTCTGCCTGTTCTGCTCTCCGCTCTGGCTCTGGTGAATTCTCTCACCCACCCGCGCTTCTGACTGTACCCAGTGCTTGTATAAATAAATAAATATTTTTAAAATAGATATGGTCAGGTAAGCATGATGTGTGTGTGTGTGTGTGTGTGTGTGTGTCTTTCTTAAAAACTTCCAAAAAGGAATAAAACTGATGTCATCACTAATTTATTCAGTGTTCCCCCTTGAAGGCTTAGAAATCTCTCAAGAGAAATTAAGTAAAAAATCACAATTAGCAGACTATATTGAGACATGGATATAATGCTTTTGCTCAACAGGTGAACTCAAGATTAGTCAGAAGCATTTTGAAGAAGCTTTCAAGAAAGTCAGATCTTCTATATCAAAAAAGGTGAGAAATGCTCCTATAGAGAAAGGAGATCAGTGGATAAGAAATTATGAAAACAAAATAATTGCCTTTATGAAAATGTTCTTAAGAGATTTTAATGATGCATGTTTCTTTTTTTTTTTTTTTAAGATTTATTTATTTTTTATTTGTACAAGCAATGTGTACAGTCAGAAGCGCGGGAGGGTGAGAGAATTCACCAGAGCCAGAGCGGGGAACAGAGCAGGCACGACAAGCACACTGCTGAAGGGAGCAGTGGGCGGCAGGAGAGGTCTGTGCGGCAGGAGAGGTCTGCGCGCCATGTGGGACCCGCCTCAGGTGGCCGGGGGGAGCAGCCGGGGATCGAACCGGCGCTGCAGAGGCTGCAGGCAGCTTCACAACCCAGCACTCAACCACTGCACCACCAGGGAGGCCCCTATGCATGTTTCTTAAAGATCACAAAGCACAGTTCTCCTAACTAGATCCTTTAATCACTCTTAAGTAGAGACAGAATTGCCCTATGTCTATTTCCACAGTCTCAGAATTTTTAACCACTCTCATTCAAGTATTTTTTAACCCATCCAACCCCCTTTGAACAATATTTCTTAGCTTCTTGGAGCTAGACTACCCCAACTAAGCTTCAGGGTCTTTCCCATACCTTTAATCCAGGAAAGTAAAGATATCTTTATCACAGGGTCAAAGAAGGGTTTAAAATCACTCTGACTTTTCCTTCTATAAAGTGATAAATCTTATCTTTATTTCTTACTATCTTGAGGTATGGTTGGTAATAAGTTAATGGTTGCTATTAAGTGAAATCAGTTTACTGTGCCACATAAAAAGGAATACATATTAAGGATATTTTCTCCTAACCATTTATTCATTTATTTTTAAAGATTGATTATGTAAGAGGTGTGGGAGATGAGAGGATTCACCAGAGACAGAATGGGGAACAGAACAGGCAGATCTACGGAAATACACTGCTGAGGGGAGCAGTGGGCAAGTCAGGAGAGGTATGCTGTGCTGTGTGGGTAGCTCCTTGGCTGGGGATCGAACTCATGCTGCAGTGGCTGAAGATAGCTTCATAGGTTGTGTCTTAAACCCTTGCGCCACTAGGGAGGCCCCCTAACCATTTATTTTCTAAAGAACCAGAAGATCAGCCTGGGGTTGGGAACTGAAAACCACTTTCATATTTTTCAGAAGCCTCAATAATTAAAACACTGTGGTAGTGACACATGAAATGACCGACACACTAATGGAACAGAATATAAAATTCAGGAATGGGCCCAATTATAAAGTTTATGTAAAAATACATACAGATATATACACATATTCCCTATTCAATAATTAATATTGAAACAACTAGGAAACTGCCTTAGAAAGTTAAGCTGATATTTCATATTAAATACCAGGATAAAATTTCCAAATAAGGCCTCCCTGGTGGCACAAGGGGTTAATAAGCACAGCACTGTGAAGCTGTCTGCAGCCTCTGCAACATGAGTTCACTCCCTGGCTGGCCAGGAAGCTACCAACATGGCGCAACAGACCTCTCCTGTCTCGCCTGCCACCCTCCTTAGCAGTGTATTTCAGTCAGTCTTCCTGTTCTGTTCCCTGCTCTGTCTCTGGTGATTCCTCTCACCCCATCCCCACCTCTGGCCTGTACCCCACTTCTTGTATGCATAAATAAATAAATCTTTAAACAAAAATTCCAAATAAATCAAAGATTTATACGTAAAAACTAAAACCAGATAAGTATTAGAAGAAAATATGGAGATTTTTCTCGAATTAGTAAAATAGAAAATATTCTCAACTTACTGATAAAAGCAACTAGAATAATACTTTTTACCTACTGATTGGCAAAATCTCAAAACTTAACCATACCTTGTTGGCCACTACATGAGGAAACAGTTGCTGTTGTACACAGCTTGCTTTTGGATGGCCCTGAGAAATGCTCAAGTCAGTGTAAAGTGGTTTGTCCGTGGAACGCTTTTTGTTTTTGTTTTTAAAGAGGTATGTATTTTATTCATTTATTTATTTGTTTGTTTGTTTGTTTGTTTATACATGCACTGGGTACAGTCAGAAGCGCGGGAGGGTGAGCGAATTCACCAGAGCCAGAGCGGGGAGCAGAGCAGGCAGACTGAAGTACACTGCTGAGGGGAGCAGCAGGTGACAGGAGAGGTCTGCGCGCCATGTGGGACGCTCCTCCCGTGGCAGGGGAGCAGCCGGGGATCAAACCGGCACCGCAGAGGCCACGGGCAGCTTCACAACCCAGCGCTCAACTGCTGCGCTACCGGGGAGGCCCTGTGGAACACTGTTTGATAATAGCTGAAGGTTGAAGTCTTAATGACATTTATGAATTATGATGCAAAAACCCTCCAAAAAACCTGATTAACTCTTAAATATATTGTGAAATAAAAGAAGAAATCATATGTATGATAAGCCACCATTTATATAAAAAAGAGGAAAGAATAATGAATATTAGTATTTGTATGTTCAGAAGGGAAATCTAAAGGGACTCAGTGTGGGGATAGAATAGGAGAGAGCTGCTTTTACTTTATAACTTTTTGTATCTATTTCAATCTTATAAATTACCAAAAAGAATAATTGGACAAAACTGGATTAAAAAAATTTTTTTTAAAGATTTTATTTATTTATACAAGCACTGGGTACAGTCAGAAGCGCGGGAGGGTGAGAGAATCCACCAGAGCCAGAGCGGGGAGCAGAGCAGGCAGAAGGACCGAAGTACACTGCTGAGGGGAGCAGCGGGCGGCAGGAGAGGTCTGTGCGCCATGTGGGACCCTCCTCTGGAGGCCCGGGAGCAGCCAGGGATCGAACCGGTGCTGCAGAGGCCGCGGGCAGCCTCGCAACCCAGCGCTCAACCGCTGCGCCACCGGGGAGGCCCTGGATTAAAAAATTTTTTAAAGCAGGGCCTCCCTGGTGGCACAAGGGGTTAAAACACAACCTACAAAGCTATCCGCCCCCACTGCAGCACAAGTTCGATCCCCAGCCAGGGAGCTACCCACATGGCGCAGCAGACCTCTCCTGACTCACCCGCTGCTCCCCTCAGCAGTGTATTTCCGTCAGTCTGCCTGTTCTGTTACCCACTCTGTCTCTGGTGAATCCTCTCACCCCCCACACCTCTGGCCTGTACCCCAGTTCTTGTATGCATAAATCAAATCTTAAAAAAAAAAAAATTTAAAAGCAAAGGGGAAAAAAAACATCTTGTTGGTCTTTAAGGTAAATATATGTTGGGCCTCCCTGGTGGGGCAAGGGGTTAAAACACAACCTATGAAGCTGTTGGCACCCACTGCAGCACGAGTCGATCCCCGACTGGCCAGGAAGCAGACCCCATGGCGCAGCAGACCTCTCCTGCCTTGCCCACTGCTCCCCTCATCAATGTATTTCAGTCACTCTACCTGTTCTGTTCCCCAGTCTGTCTCTGGTAAATCCTCTCATGCCCCACACCTCTGGCCTGTACCCCAGTTCTTGTTTGCGTAAATAAATAAATTTTTTTTAAAAAAAAAGATAAGTGTGTGTAAGTGGAATGACCTCATGACACTATGACCACAATCAGATGCCACTACAGAATGACCACCAGAATGACTGAGACTTAAAAGACAGAGAATAATAAGTGGTGTCAAGAAAGTGAAGCAAATAGGGCCTCCCTGGTGGCACAGGCACTTGAGGGCTGCACTGGGAAGCTGTACGCAGCCTCTGCAGTGCGGGTTTGATCCCAGCCGGCCGGCCAATGAGAATCCCACATGGCTCAGCAGACCTCTCCTGTCTCATCTGCTGCTTCCCTTAGCAGTGTGTTTTGTCAGTTTGCCTGTTCTGTTACCCACTCTGTCTAGGGTGAATCCTCTCACCCTCCCGTGCATCTGACCTGTATCCTGGTTCTTGTATAAATAAATCTTAAAAAAAGAAAAAAAAGAAAGCAAATAGAGATTTTTTTTTTTTTTTTTTTTTTTTTTTGCTGAAAATGTTAATGATTCAAACCATACTGGAAAATACTCTGGCAGTGTTTTATAAATATTAATAAAGTGTAAGAAACCTTTGTTTTTGCTGGCCATCTGGATTTAGTACAGTTAAGTATTTTGCTTTCTTCACCAATGAGATTTAGACATAAGCATCTTTGACCTGATTTTTAGGACAAACTGTAATCTGCACTTGGAGAGTATGGGATCCATGGCATGACTAGAAAGGGGTATAAATGGGTTGAGGTGCAGGAAGTGAGGTCAGCCCTCTCTATGTTTTAGTTTACTAGGGATGCCATATACCACAAGTTCACCAGAATCAGGGGATTAAAGAGCAAATTTTTCTGACAAAAGAAATTTCAAATTCTGCACAATTTGAAGTCTAAGATCAAGATGTCGGCAACGTTAGTTTCTTCTGAGACCTCTCTCCATACAGTCTTCTCTGTGTGTGCATGTGGCTGTCGCTCCTGTGCATGGCTTAGTCTCTTCTTATAAGGACACCAGTCATATTGGACTAGAGGTCATACTGTTGACTTCATCTTAATGACTGTTTTCCCAATACAGTCATATTCTGAGATACTGGGGTTCAGGATTTCAACATACAAATTTTAGGGGAGGGCCTCCCTGGTGGCGCAAGGGGTTAAGCACTGCATTATGAAGCAATCCACAGCCTCTGCAGCATGAGTTCAATCCCCGGCCGGCCAGGGAGAAACCCACATGGTGCGGCAGACCTCTCCTGTCTCCCCCGCTGCTCCCCTCAGCAGTGTCTTTCATCAGTCTGCCTGTGCTGTTCCCCTCTCTGTCTCTGGTGGATCCTCTCACCCCCCGCATCTCTGGCCTGTGCCACAGCTCTTGTATGCATAAATAAATGAATCTTTAAAAAAAATTTTTTTTTTAATTTTAGGGGAACACAGTCCAGCCCGTAATAGTGATCAGCTCTCTATTCTGTCTTCTTGCCTCTCAGGATCAAGTGATGTATGAATCCCTGCCATGGTCCCTCAGCCAGTGACTTCAGCAGTGGGCCTGGAAGGAGGACAGCACATGGAACTGGCAGAGAAGCCCACATGTCTGAGCCACCCCCTTTCAGGTTGACACAGATGTGGCCTCATGTAAGCATTTTATTCTTGAATTAATGAGGCAAAGCTGAAGCTGAAGATTCTTTCTGTCTGGCATCCATATGTAGAAACACCCTACCTCCTCTCTAAGAAAATGAAAACAATTAAAAACTGCTAATAAAATAGCTAATACTTTTTAAAAATAAAATATTTATTTTGAAATATTCTTGACTATACAAAAGAGTTATAATTACAATAAAAAGAACTTTTTCTGACTGAAACACCTAAAAGCGCCAACCTACACACCATGATACTCTGCATAGACAGCAATCAAAATCAGGAAATTATCATTGATACGTGGCTGTCACCTAGCCCTTGAGTTACATTCACGTTTCTCTAGTTGTCCAGCAATATCCTTTATAGCAAAAAGACCCAATTTAGGATTACCTGTTTTAGTTAATTGCTGTCTATTTAATTTCCTTAAAGTATGGCAGAACTCTGTGTTGGTTCAGTCTATAAACCCTTTTGAAGATAATAGATGCATATCCGGAAGGAGCATTAATTAGGCGACCTCTGGATGTTGGTTGTGCCCTCCTTGATATGGTGACAGTTACATGAGTGTGTTTTCTGTGTGATACTCATAATGTAATTTATAATAAACATTAAGAAAATCAAAAGCAATAGTAATAAATATATTAAAAATGCAAATGAAAGGTAATGAACCATATGTGGTCATTATGCTAGGATGATAAGTTAGCGGCTCTTTTCTCCTCCTAAGACATCAGGTACTCTGCTCCTGTTGTCCTCCCATCTGGTTAGTGGTAAGAAAATGAGACTTAAAAGATGAGCAGAGGCTGAATTTGTTGATTAACTTACCCGACAGTACTGCTGTCCTCTATTCCTGGAGACCATGAGCTTCAAAGATGTATGCAGCCATCAGTGTTGCATGGACCCCTGTTGCCTTCCAAAATGTTCCTCAACATACTGGTAGTATAATCTGGCTCCAGTGCCAGTAAAGCTGCCCCTACGGAGAGGGGAGACAGCAAAGTTGCTCTGAAGAACTCTCTCTTAGGTATGGAGGTAAAGGCTCCTTGTTAAGTCACAACTGAGTACAGTCTGTCTTCTCAGGCCGTAGTAGCTCTCCACACAGACAACTCAAGACAGAAGTCGCGAGATTCCCTCCTCACCCTGACATCTGTTCCTTTCCCCAAAACCCTGGTTCCCCAAACTAAAAATCTTGACGTTATCTTTGATTCTTCTGATCGGCCATCTAATATTTAGGAATGCTTCTGAAATCCATCCTTCTCACAGACACTGATGTGGCCTAAATGAACGCCTGTCTCAATGTCTGATACACGAAATTCATGGAAACCTTTCCAAAATACAGGTTAATCATGTCACATAGTTCAACATCCTTTAGCGACTGTAACAGGGTGGTCCCCAGGAAAGGGGGAGGTTCCCTGCCCCACCCAAGGGAGGGTGGAGCTGAGCAGGAAGAGGAGAAGCTGCAGAAGAGACTGAGGAAGGAAGCAGGTTGGAGCCAGGAGACCTGGAGGAGGCGCATGGAGCCTAGAGACACGTGAAGAAACTGCGCTTGTCTTTTGGTCGTGGACTGGGTGACACAGATGTGGGTGAGACCCGTGGGGAGGTGACAATGGCAGCTTTTATCTTGATGTTGATTTTGCTCTTTTCCTTCCGGGCTTGTCTGGTTGTTTCTTAGTATATGTGCTGCCGAAGCGAGCACTTGTCTGGTTGTTTCTTTTCTGTGGGTCCCCACTGGAAGATGCTTTAGACTTGTGGCAGGCTTTGGGGCCATGCTCTGGGCCAATCCCATTTGGATGGACTTTTACCCACGAGGGGACGGGTAACTTTGGGTGCTTGATTTGGAAACTAGATTCTTTGCCTTTCCTGTATTGTTTCCTAGTTTTATTAAAGTTCCTTCCCATTAAAGTCTCATATGTTTTGTGTTGATGCGGCGGATGGCAGAACCCATTTAGAATAGGCAGGTTTGCGGGGCTTGGGCTGCCCCTCTCCCTGTCCTATAACACGACCACAACTCCCTAGTCTAGTTACATGTGTGAACCTTTGCCATCTGACATCCACCTTTGGTGGTTACCCTGCTCCTTCCCGTAACTGGATTTATGTCACCCAGTAAAATCTGTTGTCTTTCCTGCTCAGTCTTTGTGCAGGGTGTTCCTGCTTCCTGCAATGCCTCCCCCAGCACCAACACAGGCCTTGAGATACCGCTTGCCAAGGAGCTTTCCCCAGTCCGTCCCCACCCCCACCTCCCTGCCTTGTGCTCAAACTGCATTTTATGCTGCATCAGGCCCTGGTGCTTTTATTAGAGCTCTCTGTTTAAATACTAGATTAAGATTCCCACCAGCAGATATTTTGTATCTCTAGCACTGTACACATAAGAAGAAAGAAAAAACTCTTCAATTGAACAATTGACTCACTTAATGGCATAGAGGACAGTTAACACTGGCAAGACCTGAAGAAGATTTTCCTTGGTCTGCTCTGGGAATCTCTGCAGAGAAACCAGCAAAGCTTTGGAGGTAGGCTTCCTCTGGTACCTTGTCATTGGGATCAGCAACCCTTTTAGCATACTTCTCACTGGCAGAGGAGCAGATCAAGCATTGAGAAGAAACCCTGTAAAAACTGGTCTACACCAGCATTCTCTGAAACAAACTCTTAAAGAAGAGATTATATATATTCCTTAAAACCAAATTTGAATTACCGTCTTCCTTTACAGGCAGGAAAACCTGCTCTTCCACTTTGGCTAAGTGTGAGTGACTCTGGTAAGCAGACAATGGGTCTTCTTTTCAGACTGCAGGAAGTTTTACTGACTTGAATGTAAATCAAAATGAATATTTCACAATAACCAAGGACTTTGGAAATGGAGTATTGAGTGAGGAAATAGTGCTGCTTCACAAGGAAGTTCATTTCCCCCAAAAAAACCTAACTGAAAAGGCAATCAAAAGTATATTAATTCAACAAACAGTTCTTCACAGATGTACTGCCTGTCTGCTTTTTTTCAACTACCTCTTTTATTATTCTCAGCTCACTAAGAACTTGGATGTTGAAGAAACAGTGCGATTCCCCAACCCTTTATTGCCAAAGTCAATTTGTAGTCTAGCTTAGATTCATTTACTGAAAATGAAGTTATGCTTTATTTGGCACAGGTTTGGGGTATCTGTACTTTAATACAAAAATGATACCGGAATTGTCAGGCCTAGTCTCCCAGCCAGGAACGGATCTCAGGCTGCAGGGCAGTGCTGAGCCCCAGCCGCTAGACCCCCACGGGTTGGTGTCTCACGAAGCCGCAGCAGGAACTTCGCAGACGCTCAGGCAAGCAAGCAAGAAGAGGCAGGTTCGTTTATAGAAAGAAAAAGTTTATTGAGGAGAAAAAGAACAGAAATAAAGTGGGACTCCCAGGCCAGGGAACCAGGCCTGGGAGGGGCAAGGAAGCCAAAGTGGAGTCGTGTCTCAGGGAATATAGACCTTCTTTCCCTCATTATTCTAAAGCTCCACCAGTCTCTTTGTGATTGCTTAGTTTTCAGCTGTCTCACTTAATTTGCTACTGAGTGGGGATCTTCACATTCCTTATCTAACAGGTCTGTTTTTCCCCATTTGTTATGCTTATTGCTTTATCTTTATGGTTTAGTCCTCCAGGTGAGCATCTCTACACTTTAGGGACCATTGTTAACATTGTCCGTGGTCCTGGGATGTTTGTTTTTCCCAGTGGAATTGGTTACATTCCCTTGGTTGTCCTTATCTCTGAAGCCTCCCTTAATTCTTCAGAGGTCCCCTCCTGCACTGTCCCTAAAACTGCCTAATTCCTAGCTTGCCCTGTGTCTCAAAAGGTTGCAGGCTTTCCTGATGGCATGGGGTGGAGGCTATTGACCTCAAATTAAGTTATTTCACCAACAAAATGGATTTATTCAAAAACGTTAACAGTCAGAAAGTGTGGTTTCATGGCAAAACACAAGCAGGCCTCCTCAGACATCTTAGAGGGGCTATAATAAATGTATACTCCATTGCAGGGAACTGGGAGTTTGAGGTGTTATGGCATTTTCTCATTGGTGAGCCATTGCTGGGCAAGAAGGAGCTGCCTCCTTCCTCCTGCTGGGCTTGCAGAACAGCATCATTTCCCATAAGGCATGCTTGTCTCTTGTTGGATTCTATATTGTGGACTCAAGAAATCACTCTTGACCTCCTGACCTCATTGAAATAAAGTTTCTATATATTCATTTTCACAGGGAAAAAGAACAAAGTGGGCTTAGAGAAGTTGAGCAACTTACATTGGTCGCACAGCTAATAAGTGGTATTTGGGATTTCAAACTCAACACTGACTTACCCCTAAAGCCTTTATCCTTCTATATCCTGCTGGTCTTTGGTAGGGGATGTACTTCTTTGTTATTCCTCTTGGGGAAATACAGAATTTTCTGTTTTTTATTAACTAATGTGAGTTTTAATAATGATCTTTATTGGGGCCTCCCTGGTGGTGCAAGGGATTAAGATGCAACCAGTGAAGCTGTCCGCAGCCACTGCAGCACGAGTTCCATCCCTGGCTGGCCAGGGAGCTACCCATGGTGCACAGACCTCTCCTGACTCACCCACTGCTCCCCTCGGCAGTGTATTTCAGTCAGTCTGCCTGTTCTGCTCCCCACTCTGTCTCTGATGAATCCTTTCACACACACCCCACACCTCTGGCCTGTACCCCAGTTCTTATATGCATAAATAAATTTTTTTTTCAAGATTGATTTATTTATACAAGCACTGGGTACAGTCAGAAGCGCGGGAGGGTGAGAGAATTCACCAGAGCCAGAGCGGGGAGCAGAGCAAGCAGAAGGACCGAAGCACACTGCTGAGGGGAGCAGTGGGCGGCAGGAGAGGTCTGCGCGCCATGTGGGACCCTCCTCCAGTGGCCGGGGAGCAGCCGGGACTCGAACCGGCACTGCAGAGGCTGCGGGCAGCTTTGCAACCTAGCGCTCAACCACTGTGCCACCAGGGAGGCCCAATAAACAAATCTTTTAAAATAATAATAATTATAATAATTTTTATTAGATAATGGACTTTTTAAAATTAATTTATTTTATACAAGAACCAGGGTACAGGCCAGATGCACGGGAGGGTGAGAGGATTCATCAGAGACACAGCAGGGAACAGAACAGGCAGATGGACGAAATACACTGCTGAGGGGAGCAG